ATATCAGCGCTAATCAAAGCGTGAACTTCGTTTGCTTCATAAAATGATTTGTCAGCTAACGTCAAAACTTTGAATTTCCACATTGGAAATATCTAAACTTGAAAAGGGTGTAAATTCAGTTATTTTGTCTACAATCAAGAAATCTACAGGTTCAGCAAAACTGCTATCTTCGTTTGAAATAATTGTTTTTAATTTCCATTTTATGTTCTGTGATAATCCATTTAAACCGGATACTGGTGTTTTTATTTTTTCCTTTTTTATTCCTAAACAATTACTCATTCTTTCTGTAAGCACACAAATATTGCTAGCGGAATCTAGTATAGCTCTTAATTTTATTTTTTGATTATTTGCTCGGCGAACATATATTTCTGCTGTTGAAAACAGAACATTTTTTTTATTTATTTGATCGGGCCATGTGTTATTACTCAACACTGATGCCGGATTATTTGGATTAGAATTCTTGTTAACTGTTTCGCAATATTCTTTTTCATTTCCGTTAGCTAAAGGATTTTTTATTTTCGATTTATTAGAATTTTGAGTACATATCAAATAACTGTGTGAATCACCGCATTTGCATGGATATTTGGAAAGGCAATTAATTTGAATATGGTTAGATTTTAAACACAAATTACAAAGTTTGTGTTTGCGAATGAATTTTAGTCTTTGGTCAATACTGAATTTTAAAAAAGTAGGACATTTATATATTGGATGTTGTGATTTACACACTATACAATTTTTGTTTTTATTTTCGTTTACTATGAAAGCTTTTGGCTTAGAATTGTTGGCATACATTTTATTTGGGTTCACTTTAGCATTTCTATCAACAGACACAGACAATAAAACGGATTCCCGTTGCTCTAAGAATTCAATAAATTCTTGAAATGTAGGGACGGTTTTGGATTTAAGTGATAATTGAAAATTTCTTCTCGATTCACTATCAAGTTTCTCAACTAAAATATTAATAATAAAACATCGGATACTTTATTTTGCTCATATTTAAGTACTTTTAATGCTCGTAAATTTTTTTGAACGCAATCAATCATATTTCTAATTTCTGTGGAATTTTCATTTTGAATTTTTTCAAGCTTCAAAATATTTTGAATATGAATATTGATTATTAATCGTTCATTTTCGTATCTATTTTCTAAAAATTCATATAAGGAATTAAAATTATCAAAATTACGGCATAAATAATTAACTTCATGAGTTAAACAAGATCTGAGGTAGTATAGCTTCTGAGATTCACTCAGTAGTATGTTATTTGTGATCAGATCGTCAAATTGGATTTTAAATGAACTAAATTCTTCGTATTTTCCCGAGAACTCGGGTAAAACTAAAGGAGGTATTTTAGTTTTTATTTCGAAATTATCATTTGTTTTCATTACTGCCCCAGAACTTGATTTCTTAGAGGAATTAAGAATAGTTTCAATTCTTACACCTCTAATGACTCAAGGCGGACTTCAAGAAGATGGAGATCTTCGTCGACGGCAGTTAACTCTGCATCTTTCACATTCGGAATGGCGTAATAGTTGTTGCGAAGTTCCTCCGCGTTTTTTTGTAGTTGAATCGGACTTCTTAGCTTTACTTTTATTTCAACCGAATCGGTTTCTTCGTTGGCACTTTCAATGAACGTTTCAATTCTGTTAATTTTACCTTCCAAGGTACTTTTTAATCTCTTTTGTAGGTCCATAGTCCACTGATCGCTCCGGCTCGACGGACCAGAATGCTTATTTTTAGTTTGTTGTTTTTGTTTCATCGACGGACCAGCCACGCTTATTTCTTTTTTTTTAACCACACAACATGTATCACAACATATATATGCTATTTACAGGCGCAGCAAATTTTAAGTAATTTTTATTGTGAGCTTCGAGTATTAGAGTCCTATATTAATGCTCACGTCTGAGTATTAAAGAGAAATTTTCTCGTCCATCTTGTTCCACAGAAAGTTCTCAACTGCAGGCACAGCGCGGCAAGGAAGAATATTTGCATTTGTGCGCATGACGTTGGCGCGCATGCGCCAACACACTACGTAATCTAATATATGTTCCCCTAAAGATTTATTTTCGAAATCTCTCTAGAATTAATCATTTTCGGTTTAAATTTAGAAAATGGGGCGTTTAGATAAACCTCTATGTACAATTCTGCAAGGAAAAGGAACCTGTAATAAAAAAAAAACCTGCTATTCAAATAGAATTTAATTACAGAATTAGATGATTTAATAAGTATATTAACATCTTTATTTTTAATCTTTTTAACCATTTCCATTGATATAATTTTTTTGTACGCCTGTGTATTGAGAGAGTTACGAAAACTTAAATATTTTCCATCTTTAACTATTTTACTGACGAGAGCATGTAATTTTGATTAGAAAAGCTATTTAAGTTAATAAGGCTTTCATTTAATACATTGTTGTAAATCTACATTTATTTTTACTATTGGCTTCGTTCCTTGCTTAACCCTTTATCTACCGACGGTACTTATAAGTACCACTCACTTTAAAATTACACAAAACAAGCATTTTTATGAATACTCTGACGATACTTAGCAAGAATATTCTTTTAAATCCACTCTTCCGAGAAATATGGCAGCACGGTTTTTATGATGGGTATTTAAGCGAGGTAGATGGATAGTTTTATAGCAGAAATTGCGTTTTCAGTGGATTGCGAGGATTGTCATTTTTGTTCCGAAAAAAATTTATTGTGTAGCAGTAAGAGTCTTATTTTTTCTTTTTGTATGCTAATGAAGTCCTTAGAAAACAATTTGATTGTTTATTTTAAGTGAACAATGTATATAATTAATTTTACAGTGGACTATATTTAATTAATTAATTAGCTCTAATGGATTAAATTTCCCAAAGTTAAGTATATTGTTTATGTATATCCCTTAATTTTCGATGTAGTGATTAAAAAAAATATATTGCATGAAAAAAACTGCAATAAATCATAATGAGGTAGGTAAAGGGTTAAAAAATAAAAAAAAGTACAACTATTACCCCTTCTCGTTCAAATTTTTATTAATTCTTCGTGTTCAACTATATTTTAAATCAACTTCTTCCCTTATAGCACTGACGCTTGTTTGCGTTAATTGAGTGAATGAATGTTTTATTAACGTTGCACTAAACAGCAACACGAGGACTATTGGCTAAGAACTCAGCAATTTCGAATCATGGTCAAAGAACAAAAATGAAACCTAAGCTATCATCCACTTCTCCAAACTTCCACACCATACCAACGGGGTAGACTTGGGCCCTCGGCAGATTTATAGTGTACCAGAATCTCTACACGGCTGATCTTCAGTGCCACTGGGTTGAAACTCATGGCATTACTGCCACGAGTCCATGGGCATAACCACTACATTATTAAGGTCAAAGATGATAAAAGCGTGTTGATGATGTGTGCCATTTTGTCAGCCTATCTATTGCAGGAATAGAGAAAAAACTGAAATCCTGTGATGGTTTTCAACTATGCTTTAGCATATAATGTACATCTCGCACTTAAATGGGGTCTCAGGGGTGTTAATTTTGTCTCGAAAGGTGAAAATATAAACAATTTTCAAACAGGTATAATTCTTTTGAATTCAAATTAAATAATTCGAATCTTTTGCACATTTTTACAAATGATTATGGTTCCAAAAAAGGTACAAAATGTTTGAAATATAATCATAATTTTAAAATTTATAAGCATATGAAAATAAGAAATAATTTTGTAATAAATAATTAAGTAATTTTTGCGTTCCGCGTGCTATTTTCTAGAATAGTTGCCTTTGATGTATAAAACTTTAGAGAATTTTAAAATGCATTATACTCTCTCTCTTTAAACCCTACTTAATTTAAGAATAATATATCTTTTGTAACTTAAAATATTTGAAAAATATGGGAATTTTTTAAAAAAATTGAAAACGTAGTTTTTTATTTTTTAAAAAATATAATTTATTATTCTATTTATATGAAAATTATACAATGTAATAAGGATACATTTTACTTTATAAATCAACTCATTGATAGTAATTAACGCTACTATTTTAGAAAACATCATGTACAACATCAAGCTTTATCAATATTTTTTACAGAAATGTTTATTTTCATACGCTTATAATTTTTTTAAAATTATAATTATATTTTAAAATTTTTTCCCTTTTCTGAAGGCCCATTACTTTATGAAAAATATGTAAAAGATTCGAATGATTTAAATTTAATTTCAAAGAGTCATATATATTTGAATATTGTTTACATTTACAACCCTCTAATGAAAGTTAACATCCCCCGAGACTCCTTTTAACGCATTATGACATAATAATTATTGATGTCAGAATATCTTAGCTCAAACTGCCATCATTGCAAAGTCATCACTACCGACTATGGGTTGTAATTATGAATTCACAGCTAGTGTTATTTCTATCATTTCATGGGTTCCAGTATTGGTGTCCATACTAAAGTTCATCCGTATGTAGGGATGATGATCGTTCAATTTGTGTCGAGATCAGATTTCTTACATTGGTATGGGCTTTCGTCACTCATTTGCATCACTAGACTATGTTTGAAAATTATGGGCTCTATATCACAAAAATTAATTCGTTCTGAGCTAATGCTACGTATAAATGTAGTTTCTGCAATACGCAATATATATATTAAATTTCTTAGATGAGATTGGGAAACTATGAGCAAACATTCCTTTTTTTTTTACGAAGAAGCATGAATTGAAAACATTGCGTCATGAGGCGTAATATGCATATTTAAAACTGAATATGAAAATAAATAACATAAAAATAAAGCATTTTTTTAAAATTAATTCCTACTTCAGTCAACAAAGAAAATTTTTATTTTAGTTACTTTTTATTAACTAATTACAATTAATATAAATATGTAAATACATATGACAGAATCACAATATTAAGTTGCATAATAGAAAGGGATTTTCCATTCTATGTATGGTGTCGGACTATTTTCTTTTTGTTTGTGTTACTATTTATTCATTCATAAATCACATCTTCAGAAATTAGGACATCTCTGATAGGATTCAAACCCACACACTTTGGATTATGAGTCCAACACGCTATCCACTATGCTACAGGGACACAACGCACCGTTTTCTTTTTATATATGGTGTTGGGCTATTATTTTGGTTACTATTGAATCATTAATTAAGTTTAACTAATGAATTAATATTTGAAAAAAACTGTTTTAATATCAAGTGTCATATACTACACGTTTAAAAAATGTATTTGCACTTAAGAGGATGAATAAAAAGTATTTAATTAACGATTTAACATTTGAATGACATTATATATATATATATATATATATATATATATATATATATATATATATATATATATATATATATATATATATATATATATACATAGCGAGAGTGGGAACTAATATTCGAAATTGAATCATTCTGAATAAACTAAGTTGTATGTTTTGAAAGAAGTACTAATACAGATATCCTTTTCGTCAACGATCTTAATTCATGTGACGTCATAGTCACGTGATAACTGCAATTATGTATTATCATTTCCTGCGCTTTTCTATAGCCAACTTTTTTCTTTTTGAAGAAGATTTTTTTTTAAAAGTTCATATTTGTGAACAATAATAACATATGTTGGTAAACAAAATGCACTTGATTTAAAGGTGTACGTATAATACAAGAATTTTTGAAAACTTTTTTGAATTATCTCTTATAATATTGCATATATTTACTCAATTATCAAACCTAAAATTTTATCCAAATTCTACAAGTAAAACAAATACAAGCCCGATGTTTATTATGAATTCAAAATGGAACACATAATTGCAGTTATTATCTCCCTGTCATAAATTTAGCTAATTTATACTGTAGCTCTAAATAGCGTGAAATGTCGACAACAATCAAGCCACTGAAGTCGAGTTGTTACAATCTCGAGTACGGTGTCAATAATGTCATCAAAAACCCTTTACAGTAGAACCTGTTTATGTTCGGTCCTTTTTAATGCGATTTGTTTTATGTAATTTTATTTTTCTGCGATTTTTTCTGAGATATCTTTTTTTATGCGGTCTATGAATTTCAACGGCTTTGGTGCTTCTGTAACGTTTTTTTTATTAATTTACCAGTAACGAAGAATATTAAGGTATCCGACTAAGTTCGAAACCATGATTTTAAAAGCGCATAAATGGATAATTTTCATAGTATTTAGTGTCACTTAGATTAGAATACATGTATAAAATTGTTTTAATAACATTTTGACAAAAAAAATTATTTAAATACAATATTTCGGCTAAAAATTAACTCAGAATAACCTTTTTCAAAATGTTCTCCTTTTGTGAAAAATGCTTCTATTATAATAATATTTTGCTTGTATATAGCTGAAACTTCTGTACAGAGGCTTAACTATGATTTTTGAAAAATTCACATTATTTTCAGAGCTACAACCATTTGAAAGATTTATCAACGTTTTTTTCTTAAAACTTATCCCCTCTGTTGTCGTAAAACATGGATAAACCCACTTCTAAGTTATATATTTCAAAAATTCTAGTTGAGCGTCAATACAGAGGTCTGATCTATATGCAGACATAATATTATTATAATAGAAGCATTTTTCACAAAAGGGGAATATTTTGAAAATGGGTTATTCTATGTTCATTTTTTGTCAAAATATTGTACTTAAATAATTTTTAATTTTAATACTATTCTTAAAACAGTTTTATATATATTTTCTAATCTAAGTGACACTAAATATCATAAATATTATCCATTTATACGGTTTTGCAAAATCACTCTTCCGAACGTAGTCGGATATCTTAAGACCCTTTTTCACTAAAAGTAAGGTTTTGCCTTTATAAATTGTGCAAATACGTACTTAGTGTTAGTCAGACCTTGGCCCCTAGAGTCCTGCCTCCCCCGTGATGCGGGGGTGCACGGTACGCCACTGAAATATGAAATGCACATATATACACTTCAAGACGCTCTGTTCATTTGTTAATAATAATCTCCGGACAATTCACGTTCAGTTGATTTCTCTCAACGAGCCATCAGCCTGCGTTTGATTGAAGACGGTCAAGAAGAACCGGATTATTTGAGAGGGGATAAAATATATGCAGAGATCCAGCTTTCCAACAAACGGAAAATCATTTTTTTAAAAATAGATACCAATTAGGAAAGGAGTTTGAAATTCCAAATAGAGCTCCGATCATGCATATCTGGTTATTACGACATTTACAAGCAGCTGACCATTCGGCCTTCTTCACAAAAACTTATATGTTATTTTATGTTGCCAAAAAACTAATCATTTAAATGTGATGAAAGGTATTTTTAAAATTATTCATCACATGTATATCAGCGCTTTGGATTACGATCAGTAGTTATTGTGCATTTTGAAAACTTTTCTGTTTATACAATGAGAAACTAAATGTTTTTGAAACGTGTTCATGTGTAATGTTTAATTATTTTTTTATTTTGTTATGGAAATACTCTTACATAAATTTCTTAAATAATTGGCATATTTTATAAATGCTACTTTTTTATGCGTTCCCTCTAAATCGCATAAAAAAATTTCTGTAGTGTTTCCACGAATTAGTTTGTTAAAAGTAAGAATTTATGAAATTTTCGAAAAAATATTTTGATTGTGTTTTTTCGTATGCGATCTCTATCTACCGCACAAAAAGATGTTTTACTGTATTGAAGTCCTGATTCATTTATATATTCAATATATGGGATAATGAAACCCGAGGCCAGTTAAATGTCATTTAACTTAAAATATAAGTGACAACCTTGTTCGGAATACAGGAAAAGAACATACCATGGAGAATTTTAACCGTGATTCAAAATACAAGATTAGTAGCCAATAGCATCCGTACAAAAATGAGTAAGATTTATTTCGTACTCAGTTCTTTTTTAAATTCTATCTCGCACATGTGTCATTATAATTATATTTATATACTAAATTATTATTATTATTATTACGAAGGAACTCGTCGTTATTTGGGTAAAGAGTCAAACTACTTGTTCTCTGTAGCAAATAATTTATTATTAAATTAAATCCTAAGAGGAAAGGTTTTAGCTTTTTGTTTTCGTAATTCATCTCGCGTTCATATCTTAATTTGATAAGTATCTTTACTTCTGGTGTTATTTGTTCCTTTTTCAAAGCCAAACCGGGCGATGCATCGCCAAGTACTTCCGTTTCCGTTCTTTCAATTCAACGAACGCATTTTAGATTGGCGAAAAGGAGAAAAGAGGAAATTGAACATGAAAGGAAAGAAAGAATAAAGGAGACGGGCAACGAAATTCTTGATAGCCCTGTCCCATTGCGAATTCCGAACTATTTTTAGAACCAACCAATCTTTCTCTTTCCTTTTTTCCTTCTTTCTCTCTCTTTCGTTTTCCCCTTCCCAACTTTCCGGGATCATCTCTTCTGCCGACCCCTCGATCCGTACGCATGCGCCATAGAAGCTGACTCAACTTGGCCTAATTCAATTTCGACCTCCCCTCTTTTTTTCGCCAGCCGCCCGCTCAAATTCAAACAAACCTGAAGTAATTCGATAAACAAAAGAAAACTCCTGTCTTTTCCCGGCTCCCGTCCGCCTCCTTCCTTTTGTCTCTTGTCTGGGAGGGATCAATGAGTAAAGGATTGTCAATCAAAAAGTAATGCAGCAAATATACAAAGGGAAGAAAATGTCTTTCATAGGTCCCTTGGATGAAATGGTAAAAAGTAAAATAATTCTGTTTCTTTGTGTGCAGGGATTGTGAAGCATTGAGATAAAAAAAGATTCTGTACCCCTTCTGTTTTGAACATCTGTTTCCCAAAACAAAGTTTTCAACATTTTATAAAGTAAATTTAAAAAAAAACGATTTTTTTTCTTGACATAAACGTTTCAAAAGCAAATTGTCTTGTATATGTTTTCAAAGAAAATTTAAATTGTATCTTAGAAAATAGCATTGTATATCATTATATTTTCTGCAATGTGACCTCCCATACATAATTTGTCATTATATGTTTCAAGAGCTTACTCAGACATTTTTCTACTCTTTAAAATGGTAGACAATGTGTGACGGATCTGAGCGGCACTTTATCACTAATACTCTTAGGCGTCTTTGGGGATTGTAAATTTGCGTATATTTCCAACCAGCTCTAAAAGAAGAAACCGGGATATACAAATCAGTCAAAGTATTTAAGGAGAGTGTTGTAAGCTAACAGTAGGCTATTACGCCAAGAGATAGGTTGACGGTGTTCTAAGAAGGTTCAAGCTGATTGTGTGATTAGCGTCTCGCTTATCATTAGGCAGTGATCAATTGGAAAGTTTGATACGCCTGGAAAGTGAGGTAGTAAAAGGAAGGTGAGATTTAAATAAAAATTATTGGATCACATAAGAGTAAATATATAATAAAGTTAATGTTAATTTAATGAATGTTAGTAATTCAAATTGCGTGTATCTCTCGATTCCTTTATTCCGGTAAATCCCTTTCGATATTGAGTTTAATAGTTGATTAGTATCATATTCCGTAATTTAATTTAATAGTAAGGGTCAATCACATTGACGTAGACATTGTAAAGAACAATTTCAATTATAAAATTCTGCGAGCTGCATCTACCCGATGTTCGGCGTTGGAGGAAGAAATTCAGTCTCGAGCCAGTCAATTAAAGTAACTTAGTTTATTCAGAACTACCAAGTGAAAGTGAGCACGTGATTGCTTCACCCTTTTTATATACAGAACATAATGACGTCACACAACCTCTTCACAGTTACAAAAACGTGGCGCCATGCAGCCACTCATTCAAACAAATCATTTTTATTCACAACATACTCCCCCCTTTGAGACTTGGGGAGAGTCTCAAACCTATAACAGTTATAATTCAAAAGATCAAGTCTCGCTTCGGTTCTTTAACCAATCTTCCAGAAGAAGTATATTTTTTTACAATTGCATCATTAGTATTCAAGACCTTTTCAGGTTTAGTACTTTTAACAGAAATTGATTCCTCTTTCAACTCCTTATCGCTATTAGCAATCACTTGTACTTCCAAAGGGAAGATACGTTGCACGGGACGTATTACTGTTCCATGTTGAGTTTTTAGTCGAACTGTTCGAATTTCCCCATCTC